GCTTAGGCTTAGGCTTAGGCTTAGGCAGGCCAGGCTTGGGCTTAGGCTTAGGCTTAGGCTTAGGCTTAGGCTTAGGCTTAGGCTTAGGCTTAGGTTTAGGCTTAGGCTTAGGCTTAGGCTTAGGCATAGGCTTAGGCTTAGGCTTAGGCTTAGGGTATGCTTAGGCTTAGGCTTAGGCTTAGGCTTAGGCCTAGTCTCCACAGAAAAGCAATGCAATGATTTTTTTGGAATTTGTTATTTTTTTACTTAGTGAAGCAGAGACTAGTATGTTTACCCAAGCAAAGCTGTGATTTGGCTCAACACCTCCAATTAATGCTCTAACAAAAGCAGCAAACAGCCTACGTCACGGCCGCCTTCGCGACATTGACGCCTAGACTCTGCGGTTGTTCACTCACTCTCTCTCTCTCTCTCTTTCTCTCTCTCCATACCCTGCTATTATCAATAACAAAAATATTTTTATGAAACGCAAGAAACACCTGTTGCCCTTTTTAATTCACCCACTCGCTTCTCGGAAATGTGTACCGCCCGGAGCGGCGATCGAATTTACCAAAGTTCCTGTTTTCAACCTCCGCCATACAACTTCCGCATCGCGTTGACCAAAAAGCTTAGACCTCGCTTACTGGAATCCGAACTGCTATCATATTGTCGAAATTCAAAATATCGAAACCACATACATGAATGAATCGTGGCTTTAGCCAGGTTCAGGCTTAGCCTAGGCCTGAGCGTAAATTTCCCCCGAGATACGTAGCCAGTGAAAACCCCAAAAAAACGGGGCCGGTCTTTGCAATATCTCATCTCTCGCCCGCAGACACTAATTATTCAGTAACCGCGGACATAATCTCTGACGTACCAACACGACGAGAGAGAGGGCAAGAGAGAGCGAGAGAGAGAGGGAGAGAGCTCAAAAAAAGAGACAGATTCCATTCGCTTAGTCGTTCGCCCCATCATAAATAAGACTGCTACGTGCCGGGCCCGGCATTTTTGGCTTGGAAACTTGTTTGCTTCCGGGGGATGGTGTTGGTCCCTATTTACGACGTATTCAAATGAATTGTCACATGCATTGGCTAAAGTTTGGGCTATTTTGGAAAAATTGAAGACTTGCAATTTAACATCAATACCAAAAAACCGTTGATTATTGTGACGCGCTTCTGATCAATGACTAATTGTTGAGAACCGCGAAACGCGGCCCAGACACCGGTTTTCGCCCTTAAAAAACCCAATTTCCGCCGGACATTAGCCCGATTTTGTGGGCGTACGAGTCGATCTCCGAATGGCTCAAAATCGTCGGGTAACCGAATTTGGACTCCCCATGAAGCGGCGGTTATTTCTGAGAACCTAAAACGCGCCTTGGCACCGACCAGGTGCCCACTCTCCGCGATTTGTTATTAATGAAAAACCTATTTGCGCACTTACTCGTGTTTCCACCACGCTCCGCCCCGATACTGCCCTACCCACAATGTCAATAGTTTTTTCGGGTGGGGAGAAGCATTCGGTGTTCAGGAGTGGATGCGCGGAATTTTTGGGTTAATTTTTGTAAATTGGATTGGCTTTGTGCTTCGTACTGAAAAAAAAAGTTTGAAGGCATGGTACTGTGCTTCTGTTGCCGACGTTTCTCTCTCTCTCTTTCTCTCACTCTCTCTTTCTGGCTCTCGCCCTCTCTGGTCTCTCTTTCTGGCTCTCTCACTCGATCTCTCTCTGTTTCTCTGGCTTTCTCTCAGTCTCTCGCTCTCTCTCTCGCTCTCCCTCTCTCCTTCTCCCTCCCTCTCTCTCCATTTACCCGACCTCCATTCTTGTACCACCCTTTAAAAGTTGTAAAACGCAACTCTTCCTTTTCTTTAGCCCTAACTCCGGTTTGATGGAGTCCCTCTGGGGGATCAAGTGCTCTACCATTTCCCTTTCCACTTGTCTAAAGGGCACCTTTCTCAACTCGAATAGACAAGGATTTACCCTCTCCGAAGCGAAGAGGAGGATTAGGACCCACACACCCCCCAGCTACTGCTTTTGGCCCCCTCGGGTTGGCGCCCAGGGCCCCGCCCCATCTCCACTGGCCGCAATTCGAGTAGTTTGGCGCATTCCAGTGTATGTGTGTGTGGCCCTTTGGCCCTGTGGCCGGCGCCCATATCGCCTCGGGGCTTTTCCGAAGCGCTCCGCATCCATTCAAAACACCCCACCCCTTCTGCTGCTGCTCCTCCTCTTCCCCCCGCGCGCCGCGCCACGCCTATTTACGAGATGGCCACGGGGCGAGCGGATTCGTTTTTCAAGCCCATCCACTCGGAAACTACTGCCTGCCTGGAATTTTCGATGCATCCGGCTCATCGCCGTGGCGTCGAATTTTCGTACTCTTGGGCGAATCCGGTTTTTTGGGGATCATGCTCTCTCAGGTTTTTTTTCAAGCCCATACCTAAGCTTAAGCTAAACCTCAGACTAAGCCAAAGCCTCAGCTCGGCGTAAGCCAAGCAGAAGCATAAGCTAAGCCTACGCTAAAGCTAAGCCTAAGCCTAAGCCTAAGCTAAGCCTAAGCCTAATAAACCTAGTCCTAGGTTTTAGCTCGGTATTTTCTAGAATTGGCATCCACCTCCCAATTTCCTCATTTTCCCATCGCCAGCAGCACCAAAAGTGTTTTCCAGCAGCCGCATCCGGAACTTGACTAATTTCGCCTCTTGTTTTCGAGTACCCCGATAGGGCTTTCGCCTCTTTTCTGCTCGATCCCTGATGCAAAACAATCATCGGCGGATCAGAAGTGCATATCGAGCGCAACGCGGCAGCCCTCGTGCTCATTATCTTTGGGGCTCCATAGATCTTTGGGGCGTTTAGCATCATGCCCCTCATTGCCCTCCATAAACAGCTCTAGTCGATGACGTCTTGCCAAAATGTAGGCGATCTTAGGCTATATTCCACCGAAATTTGCCGAAAATGCATTTCGCCGAGTTTTTGGGGTCCAAAAAAAAAGATTTTTTCAAATTCTCTACAGGGTGTCCCAAAAAATCGGCCCGCCCCCTCTAGCGGTCCGGAGAAAGCTTCGATCGGGATGATTTTTACATCATTCGAAAGCTCGCGAAAAAGCGAGCAAAAAAGCGCTTTTTGCTTTACAAAACTCTTTAGCCCGCGCTAAATATTCAGCGTTTTTTAAAAAATTGAAAATCAGCTTGCTAATGCCCACAATTGCGAATCTCGGTTGTTGGAGGGCGGGCCGTTTTGCCGAAGTGTATGCATGGCGGGGACGGCTCTAATTGGCGAGTCTCGTCGTGGCGCCCGGGCACAAGTCTTCTTCCCCTCCATGTTGATGTGTCTGTTTGTGGATTTGTCAGTCTGTCCGCATCTCTCTCTCTCTCTCTCTCTCTCTCTCTCTCTCTCTCTCTCTCTCTCTCTCTCTCCCTCCCTCTCTCTCTTTCCACGCTCAGTTGACGTCAAAGGGCTGAATGGCCATTCACGCGCATCTCCTGAATTTCACGAATCGCGGCTCTTCGGGCAGCGGCTCCATCGCAGATCCATCAAATTTTGGGGCGGGGGGTGAGGGAATGAGTGCGGTCTGCATTTGGATGCATAAATCATCGCGTTTTTGGCGTCTTTTTGTGTTCCGGGCTGCCCGGGGTGACTCGGTGAAGTTGGCAGGGCTCTCGGGATTAATTCAATGCTGACTAAAAACTGAATTCTTTTGCAAAGGGATGCATCGCTCTCTCGCTATCTCTCTCTCTCTCTCTCGCTCTCTCTCTCTCTCGCTACCCTCTTATTATTTTGCCAAACCTCGTGCTTCCCGAAAAGCCAAGCCATTTCAAACATTAGGCTAGAAAACAAGGCTACAATTTTTGGCGGTCGTCTCGAGCCAGAGCTAATTACCCCTTTGAATCCACCGACAACATAGCCCATGTTCTCGAAAAGGACAAAAGAAATTTTTTCCAGTTAACATTTATTCTAGTTAATTGCTTAAGCACCAGTTTTCAATCAGGAAACCCTCAACAACCACCCCACCCAGCAAGACGCCCCGAGCTGGTCGAGAATGAAATTGTAGGCGGTGCGAAAAACGCGCCATTTTCCGCCCGTTCCCAGCTCACCGGAAGGGGAGACCCCCCTTGCGTTCCGTTAGAATGCGCAAATTTTGATCTGTCCCCAGCCCAGCGGAACTTTACGCGTTTTTCGGTGCTTTGGAGGGATCAGACTGGCCCTAGTTAGGCTTAGGTTTAGGCTGAGGTTTGGGCTTAGGCTTGGGCTTAGGCTTAGGTTTTGGCTCCTAAGCTGCTCGTTCCTTGTTCCTAAAATCGCTTGCTCTCGATTTTTTTACTTTTCCTCCTTGTGTGATTAACCGGGACTTTAAACTGACCTTAGTATTTGAAATATTGCCGCCGCTAACTTCTTCCCATTCCTCATGCTCCGTTCCGCCTCCTCAATTTGCAGCTAAAGCCCCGTTGCAGCTCTGGCAACATATCAGAGGCTGGCGCCTGTGCAGTTGATGCACTCGCCGCGCTTCGGGTCGACGAGCCCGTTCGGCTCACCGACGACGTTAGACAATGGGCCGCCGCCGAGCCCGTTTCCGCAGCACGCGTGCCCCTCATCCGCCTACCTCGACCCTACGGCATGCCGAAGGAAGCTGCCACCGACCCCGGCACGAAGAGCCTCATCCCCTCGGATGCTCCCAACGCCACCACCGCTATCTCCGGAATTCCGGGCTCCGTCGTCGCAGGCGATGCTCGAGCGGAGACCGTCAGGTGAGGAGCAACTTTCGATTACGGTTTATGGGCATTTTTAGGGCTTTAGCAGGGCTTAAGCTTCCGCTTCGGCTTCACATATGCTTGGCTTAGACTTAAGCTTAGGTATTGAGGTAGAATCTTTCAGAAGTATTGATTTGGAAGTAATGATAGCAGCTTTCAAACACTGCTTTCAACTTCAAATTCCCAGATTTCGACATTCAGCTAAGCCTCAGTCTAAGCTTAAGCTAAGCCCAAGGCCTAATCATCTCACATATTATCATCGAAATGCATTAACGTGCCCCCTTTCTAGGCCGCATGCTCCCGCGAACACCCCAAGAAATGACGTGTCTCTCGGCCGCTTCATCCTCCCCATCCCCATCGCTCGGTCTGAATTCACGGTTCTCGACCCCGGACCCGGTGACCCCGCCCTTCACCCAGGAGACGTTCACAATGCCCCAAATGATCCCGGATGTAATGATCGAGACGTCATCCCGAAACTCCTCCCGTCACAATTCGATGAGAACTCACAGGGTGCCGGAGGTCGTCGAAAGCCTCGATTACGATGATCGAAACGGGGAAGAGCTGGAAGATCCGGACACTGGGTGCGATGAGGACACGGCCGAGGCGGAGTACACCCCGGAGTACAGCACCCAACAATACACGCCGGCGCCGATCTTGAGGGAAACGCCACGGGAGAGCAGGGAGGAGCGCAGCGTCGAGACTCCAGACGAGGGCGTACAGTCGCAATGCAGCAGTCAGAGCCCCAGTTGTGACCGAATCGAACAGGTTGGTGGATTGATGCTAATCCCCAAGGGTTATACTGCATTTGTTTTACATTTCTGTGAAAAGAAGGAGATACGGGGATACGCCATAATTGTTACATACAAACCACTGTTTTTATCAAGAGCTTTTGCATTAAAATCAGCGTCGGGAATGCAAATTTTTCTCCAGGAAACTACAGGGTTTTAGCCTTTTTTGCTATCAATATTTCGGGCGAGCTTCGAGCTTCTAGACATCTAGAATCTGGCTTCAAGCCAGAATTCCAAAGGAACACGGCCACGTGGAGTCGCAGTATATGCATTTTTTCGAATCCACCTTTCACGCCCATATTCACGTGCCCACCGGCCGACAAGGGGGAAAATGAGGCCCATTAGGGTGGGACCCGAGGATGGAGGTGGTGCTCGTTTTGGCATCTCCTGCGCCATCGCCTCAACAACGCGCGCCGAGGAGTCGAAGAGGCAAAAGAGGAGTGCCCTGATTGGATTTCCGGTCGGGAGAAGGCGCAAAGCCCCTCAGCCTCCCGCCGTTTTCTCGTCCCACCCATCCATCCCATTCTCCTCGGGCCGTTGGGGGGATGAGAAGAAGCCCTTGTTGGAGAAGGCGCACACACACGCGTGGCGCGAAAAAAGGCAAGCCTTCACCCGCAGAAGCCATGTGAAATCGGAACGTGCCAATTTTAGACGACGCCCAGGGTGGTGGGGGATCTCGAATTTCGGGCCAGATAGCTGCGTCAAATCCGGAGCATCGGCGCTGAGGCCCGGATTTGGACCTTGGTGTTACGGAAGATGGGACCGAACAGGAACTAGGGGAGTACGAACAAACCCGGGCTCAGAATTGGTTGAAAATTGACACGCAGGTAGAATAGACCACGCTGATCATGACCTCGTTTTCCGAGTTTGCTACTGATCATTATAACTTGAGATCTGTCGTTTTAAAATCGGCACCCCTCGACTTCAATTTTTTTGATCTTCCCGGTTGATTTTCCAAAAAATATCGCGGTTTTTAAAGATCATTAGCAAATTCGGAAATAGGAGGAAGATCAGCTTGGTCGATTCTATTCATCTGCAAATTTTCAGCCATTTCTGAGTTTGGGTTTAGTCGGGCACCCCTGATTTACAGCGAGGAGTGCGAATCTCTGTAGTTATCATATTTCGTACGGGTTCTGTGTCTCTGTTCTCCTATACGACGGGTGACCACACAATAAGGGTCGGCTCGTTGGGCCCTCCATTGTTTTGTGGTGCCCACCCTCACCCCGTCGGCTGCATCGCAAATGCGCTTTGGTTTTTTTTGGGGAACGCGACAAGCCGATGGCAAATCGCCAGTGCTTCTGGAGACTGAGGAAATAGCGCAAATGCCGGTTAGAGGGGGCAAAATTAGCATAAATCTTCTCTGCTCCCTCCTGCCTCGCCCCACTCTCTGCTCAATTTTTCGCATTAGCATTTCGGGTTGGCTAGTTGCCAAATATTGTTGAGCCCTGGCCTACAGGGCCTTCCTTATCCCTTTAACACCATTAATACGCTGAAATATCGAGATTGAGCAGCAGCCAGAGGTCATTCAGCGGCGCTATCATGTTGGCGGATGATTATCCGTGGCGAGGCCGATCCCAGTCCCGGGGCACTCCCTTTTATGGCCTTCCGGCAATTTGTTCTCCTCAGCCTCTCCCTCCACCCCAAATATGGCACCAACCATGAGAAAGGCCCTACTCTACTACCCTAACAAAAAACCAAACGCCCCATTCAGGGGGTCAACACGCTAGCCACGAACCACAAGAAACAGCCAAAATGGCAACAAAAGGACAAATAAAGGAAAAAAGAACAGGAAAAGGGAGCTGTGTGCCGTGTTTTGGGTTGTTTGCTGGACTGGAGATCGCAAAAATCACGTGAATGGCGATTAAATTGGCATAGACTGGTGGACTGGGCTCAACTTAGACTTAGGCTTAGGCTTAGGCTTAGGATTGGATTAGGTTTGGAGTCGGCTGGAGTCCGAGTCTGGAGCAAGGTTCGGCGTAGGGTTAGGCTTAAGTTTTAGTTTAGTCTTTAACCGATTTTAGTCTCTGCTCTACTAGATGAGACCTAATCTACACCGGGCTTTTCCGCCGCCCCCTTGAAACCCGGCTACGCGGCTTTGAAGCCGTCCTAGCTAACGGTTCTACTGAAAAAGTATCGTATCCAGCCGCCAGAGCCGTCCCCCGGCAACATTTCGTAGTTGCCCTAATCGCCGGTTGCCCTCTCCCGATGTCTCTTCCCATCAAACCCTTCAATTGCACCCAGGCGACTCCATTCGATATGCTGATCTTGAAAAAGGGGCCCCGAGTCGACTTGACGATGCAAATTAGGGGTGCGATAATTGCCGGGCAGCTCTTGGCCCGATTTTAGAGAAGGGCCGATATAGGAGAAGTTTTTTCGGGCTCCCCCCCCTCGGGCTACAATTTGAGAAGCATCGAGATTGCCCGGCCATCTCGGCCTATTAGTCTTGTACATATCGAGGGCCCGAGTTGCCAGCCGGCTAACGTATATTGATCGACCGTTTTTTTTTGGGATGATAAATTCTTCGACGGTGCCTCGGCTGGGATTTCTGATGCAGCTGATCCGGCGGGTGGGTCATGTATACGGTTCTTTGTCGATCAATGTCGCTGAAAACTCAAAACAACGAAAATGGTAGAAGCTGATAATGCCGATTCACTGAATGCCGATTTTGGCTATTTTATTGATCGAGATGACAAAGACTAACACCTCTTTCTTTGAAAATTTTTTTGTCTCTCTGTCTCTGCCAATACGCCCCATCCTTTTTTAACGCTGAACCCGAATCCATCGTAGATCTCCGCAAAAAAAACGGTTAATCCCCGCAGCAACCCCCACATGGACCGGATTAACAGACGACGCCCAATTCTGGGTAAATATTTGCCGGGCATCCGGTCATTCGCTTTAGTTGGCGACCGCAAGACAATTGGCCAAGGGGCGATGAAGGGCCTAATCCGATTTCGGATTTTGAGGTCACGAACCTCGGCGTGAATCCTCGGGGTTTTGTGAATTTTGGTTGGACCACTGAATGTGACAAGAAACTACTTAAAAAACCGTCAGAGGAAAAGCAGCATCAGTGGTATGTAAACTTATTGCAAAGTGTTTTTACATAGACTGGAGATTCCATTTGAGACCAAGCCCAGCTTGTGCAGAATTTTTAACTGATTCCGAATCCGTTTTCTAAGCCGAAATCGGAATTCAGAATTCGGTGATCCTAATCCATATTGTCGTTTGGCGCCCAGTCATCCCTGACGCTTTGTCTCCCACGCTCTCCGTTAATCCAGCTTTTTGCGATCATCCAATTTCCTGAGGTCCCGTCCGAAGCCCATTCACCCCCATTTCCGTGAGCACAGAAAACCAGACCCATCTGGCAGGGTGAGTTGGCTGGCTTCGAGTGGTCGACGTGAAATTCTCATATGGGATTCCCGGGATTTCCCGCTGCCCGCGGCAGGTTGCTCTTTTTTCTGGGGGCTGGCGAATGCGATTGCAAACCCGGGAAGTGATGGCGTGAAGTTTGTTCTAGGGGTTGAAGTGGCGCAGAAAGCAAGCAACTGGTTGCCAAAGGTTGCCGCGCAATTAGGCTTCGGCTTCGGCTTAGGTTTAGCTTAAGCTTAGACTTAGCTTCGGATTAGGCTAAGCTTCGGATTAGGCTTAAGCTTAGGTTTAGGCTTCAGCTTAGGCTTGCTTCTCCTTCTATTTCTGCACGAGGAACTGGCACTCTCCTCTCCTCAGCCATTCCTCCAAAGTTTCCCAGGATACGGTAGCATTTCCTTCGAACGAAGCCCGAGCCGCATCGAATTGAATTTCGAAAATTTGGCCCTCGTTTCGAACAGATAGGACTCGCCACTCGACAACGAGAATCTCGTTATCGTAAGTGTGCCCGGGAGAAGGCACTACGAGACTCTGCCCTCCCACCCCCTTCCCAAAAAAACGAAGGCAATATCGGAATTGCTGAAAACTCGAGAAAACACGCGGCGACCAAGGATGAGGGCACTCTAGACGATCTAGTAGCATGAGCAAAACATATGAGTGTCAGACTTGGAGCTTGTCAGACTTGGGTTTTGCCCTTCCAGCAGGGTGGTGCTAAACGTGGGAGTTACATCCCAGACATCACCACGCACCCGAAGAAGCGTGCCTAATTGAAAGACAGGACGGGTGAGCTTTGGTCCTCCTCGGGGCACTTAATTTAGAAACGATCAAACTCACGAGTCCGTGATCTTGGGAAAGATATGTTTTAGGGAATTGAGCCTGACTTTTAAAGGGATCGGGAAGACCCTTGTAGATGCAAAAAACTTGGGAGAGAGCGGGCCCAGGGCAGAGGAAGCAGAGACAATTTATGCAAATGTGGAAACTAAAACCGGTTTACGCTAATAATCTGGACCTCCCTAGACCTAATTAGGCTTATGCTTAGGCTTAGCTTAGGCTTAGGCTTATGCTTAGTGAGGCTTGGGCTCAAACCTAGGCATAGCTCAGGCTTAGGCTTAGGCTTTTGCTTAGCTTGAGATGAGACTTAGGCTTGGCTTAGGCTTAGCGTAGGCTTAAACTTATGCTTGCTTATGCTTAGCTTAGGCTTAGGTTTTTTAAAACCCGTCCCTTGATCTTCATGCATCTCCGCCATTTCCATGACTACATCCCGTTTACGCGGCACGCTAATTATAGCATCTCGTCGGGCGGGTGTCAAACTTCTACGAGTCGTGTCCGTCCGTTGGAAAGTGATGTAGCACCCCCTCTCACCCGTCCGGCAAGGAGAAGCCCCTCGTGCTGCCGGGGAACGTCCCCGGGGACCCTTTTTTATGGTTCACTCCACCCTTCACACTGCGGCCGCGCCGTTTTGGCCCAACATTTCCCGGGGGCAGCACACAAGACCCCGGGATTCGAACCCTCGGCTCCCATTCTCATTTGAATCGGAAAGCAGCCGGGGGGTCAGCCGGAGGGAGGCGAACTAAAAATTTATGGGCCTTGCCATTCAATGGTGCCCCTCAAAAAAAACTTTGCCTTCACAAAAGGATTGGGGTCTAGAAGAAAACAGAAATTAGCAGGGGCCTATTGGAAAAGCCGGTTTGACTGCTGGAGATAAAGAGAACGGGTCTCTTTCAAAATGTGGAAAATCATAATGCCAAAAATAGTTTTGAAATTTCGACATCCTAAAATTTGACATTATAAATTTCGACATTATCAAATCTTGACATTATGATTTTGACATAAATTCGGAATGCCGAATGCCGAGACTATGGAATTTCGACATTATGAATCCCGACAATAGGAAATTTCGACATTCTGAAATTTCGACATTATGAAATTTCAGCATTGTAAAATTTCGGTGTTATGAATCTTGACATTTCCGTGATTACGATCCCTTCATAATTACACCTCCTCGATTTTTGAGCTCTCATGCTCGTATTAAAAGGGCGTTCGCGTTGTGTCTCGGATTTCGCCCCGGATTCTCCGTGCTCCATCATTCCGCCTGGGATGGCACCACCTCATTTCCGTGATTTTTGAGGCTCCCGTCACGATCCACGCCATCTCCAATGCATAAAAGCGTGCTAACGGGATGGGAAGGTCCCCAAAAACGGGCTCGCTTCAAAAAAATAGGAATCGGGTTCCCGGGCTTCATATAATGCGCGTGAAAATCTTCTGATTTTTTGAAGGAGGGAAGGCAGGTCGAATGGAGGCGTCGCCGGCAAGGCCTGATATGTGAAAAACTGGTTCGCTGAAAGTTAGACTAGAGGTACGCACACCTCAACAAAAAAATGTCAGCGGGTCTGCAAGCCTAACATCAAAACATCATGAATACTCTATCAAAATGAATATGAAAATCAAACTGTGAGCATCAGAGGAGTGAAAGGAGCTCCGAAATCTGGTCCACAGCCCCTGCGTTGATTCCTGGCAAATAGCCAGCGGCGACCGGAACGCGAACGCGCCGCATCATCTTTTGCCCCTGTTTGGACGTGAAAACGCTTGAATTTGAAAATTCTGAAGCTATGGTTGTAATCCTCATCGAATTTTGTTCATTCTGGACTTTTTGATGATGAAAATGCAGAGAGAACCACCGAGAAGCTCGGGCAATTGGTCCTTTTCCTCAAAGCATTCTCATTCCCATTTCGCCATATTTTTCTCAAATCCAGTTACAGTTTATCAATCAACATCAACTCTTATTGTCTCTTTAAAAAAACCAATTTGCTTATATTTGTTATGCGTTTTCCTCATTAGAGAAATTGGATTTTGGTGGTCAGGTTCCTCTTGCCTGCCTGGGCGTTCCTACCCTCCGGAATAGGGTCGGGCTCAAGCCGGGAAAATTGGCGCAAATTGAGAAATTGGTGGTGAGCAATTTTCTTCGAAGCCCCGAGGGCATGGCCCGAAGAACACACACTCCCCAACATCCCTTCACATCTCACGTCGGGGGCACACGAAAATATATCGGGAATGGGGGAGATTCGGAGAATTTTCAAGTCGTTGAGAAGCATGGAGGCTCAAAATCGCTACTTCTAGAAGCCCTCACTTCTAAAAAGCAGTCCTTCTAAAAATCGCTTCTTCCAAAAGTAATTACGTCGATTTATCAGTTTTCGGCAAATTTCGCCATATTTTTCGCAAATCGACGCTACGAATTTTAGAAGTAAGGACTTTTAGAAGTCAGCTATTTTACAAGTAATTTTTAGAACCAATGCGTAGCCAAATTTCTATACATGGTATAAAATTTCTCTTTCAGCTTGCATCAAAGTCGAACAGCGAGACCGGATCGGTGGGTGGAGATGCGTTGGCGCACGGGTTGGACCCAGCACTGTATGGACCGGGTGCTTCGCCTCCCAACGAACCGATACTCATCCGGCGGGCAAGTAAGTCAAAATGGTCAAAGTCAAAACGGCAAACTTTAAAGAAGTTGTCTACCCCGGGCCCAAACCTAATCCGGTCTACTACCCCCTGGAAAACCTCCGCTTTAGGCGCCGTGACTCCAGGCACCGTACCCAGCTCGTCCTCCTTCCAAAACGGCACCGCGAACGCCGACCAGCCCCCGTCGACCGGGCTGGGAATCCTCTACTGTACGATCCAGCATTTTCCGGTCCGGAAGCGGTTGCGGGTCAACATACTGAAAGTCGAAGGTGAGGTTTTCAGGCCTTTAAGGGTTTTTGAGTATCGCTAGGGTTGGTTTTAGGCTTAGGTTTAGCCTTAGGCTTAGGTTACCTAAGTATCCTTAACAATCGCCTCCAAAACCAAGGTTCGCGTTGATGTTTTGGCTTCATCTCAGCCATACGCTCCCTGACTCCGTGCAAAAAAACGGGCTAGCTGCAAAAATCACGGGCCGATGCCCCCGGGGCTCATCCAGGAACTCCCCGGGAGGTAATTGCGCGTCGACGTCGCTCCGGGACGCGTCTAGTCAGTAGAGTTTTGGCAAAAGATCCCTCCTCTCCTCCTCAAATCGCCGCTCGACTCGAGCCGCGGGGCCCTGAGTTGAGGGGAGAAGCCCCCGGGGGATAATTTGCTACCGCGTGAAAGGGGGTCGCCGGGTGTGTCCCGACGCGAAAAACGACCCGCCGCGCGGATACTTCCTTAACCGGGGGGGGGGATAAGTTGGGTTAAAGGGACTCGGAAGGCTCAGGGGGCTTCTCGATGGAAAAAAAGCTTAGAAAAGGATTGATTAACCGGACGTTCAGGCCTATTAGTGACTTTTATCGTCGAGAAACAATTTATTTGTTGGTGTGGCCGACTCCCAAATCCTTTGAATGCTGTCGTTAAGGTTGCACAACGGCTACCCTTTGCAGGTTTTTATGGAACGGCATTAAAATTTAATTTTCGAAGGGTTTGTGCAAAATAAAGAAAATGTTGATAATGATTACCTAGCAAAATCTCGAACTTTACAATTTTTAAAAATAGGATTTCGTTAATGTTGAATTTTCAGAATCTGGAAGTTTCCATAGTATGAATCCTACTATATATAAAAAAATAGTGTTTGTGTGTGTGTGTATGACACCTTGCATGCAACATCCGTCAGGTTGTTCCAGTCGAATCTCAAGAAGGAGAGTAGTTAGGGTCATGTTTTATACGCCATTAGGTGCATAATGTCCCGGAGATGACTGCACACACACCAGATTTATCAAAATAGCCTATTTTCGACATTAAATTTTAGTTTTTGTTGAAAAATCCGAGACCCTCTTTGTTAGGAAACAATTAGCATACACCGGAAGTGTGGAGAGCCTATATAGAGTAGCAGAGAGCGCATTTTTCACTTTTTTCAGCGTGGGTCGTGCCGAATTATGCAAAGTGTAAACTTCCATTGGGTTGGACGGGGCCAGGGTTGAAAAGTCGCGAAGCGGTTTTTCAACCCTGGTCAACATTAATATCCGCGGGAATTACACGCTTGCGCCCTGCATCCAGCCTATGCAAATTACGATAATCTGGCATTTCCGGACTCTGATTTTTGATCGAAATTCGAGATTCGAGAGACTCCGTGCAACACCAAAACTCGCGCGTTTTTGATGGGCTTCTAGGGCGCGCCGGGAACACCCTGTGCTCGTCGATGCTCATGCGATTTGTGGAGGGTCTGGGTGCTGGAAAGCTGCGGACGGATGAGATTTGCCAATCGGCGCATTTGGGGCAGTGTGTTGGGGGGAACGTCTCGGAACATATCAAGTTTCCCCGGCGCGCTGGCCGCCAATTCGGTTGCCTCCAATCCCCACCACTGAATTCATTTGGATAGAGTTTTTGGGAGTTTTCTGGACAGCCGGGATTGGAAGTAATATTGTAAAATTTGGGGGTCGGGGAGATCGCCTAGTTTTGGGCTCCAGTCTTCCAGTCCATTTTGGGGCCTCGCGGAGGTAAAACGGCGAAACGCCGAGGGGGTCGTTTTTTTTTGGGACACCCTGTGAGAGAGAGCGAGAGAGAGAGAGAGAAAGAGAGAGAGATAGAGAGAAGCAGGGTTTTTTTAAAGATTGCAACATAAAATACATTACCCTGTTTCAGCACTAGCCGGCCAGCTCAAGCCCGAGCTCGAGATCCACGCCCAATGCAAAGTGTCTATCCCCGGGCTGAAGGGTGGCAAGGAACAGTCGTCCGAAACGAAAAGAGGACGCGATCCGGTGTTCAATCAGGTGCGTACGACATCAGCCTAGTGATACCGGAATTCAGGCTCCGAAACAATTTAAGATATGCTTTACAGGAGTTCTTCTTCGAGCCAGTGACCATCGAAGACCTCGACACGAAAGCCATCCAGGTGGTCGCCTACCACTCCGGAGGGGCCACCAAGTTGGCGAAGGATGTGGCCATTGGTGAGTTTGTTGATGCAGCAGTTTGACCTAGACAGAATTCAAGCAAAGGCCTCCTAATGATTCTTTCATGTTATGGGGGAGGGACCGAACTTTTTGATATCCTAGAAATGCCTATTAACTTAATGGAAAATGCTAAAAAAAAATCGAAATTCTGCTAAAAAACGGCAACTTTCTATCGAAAATCGATATTTTTGGTTTTTTAATACCCATTTGTAAAGCCTTGACGTGTAGGAATGGTAAGAAGCCATTTAGAAACACCTCTACTATTTTTTGAATTCGAAAAAGAGATCCTTAGAAAAAGGTTGCTCCCCCCGATAATGCAAAAGAACCATCCTGCCAAAGGAACTAAAGTCTCAATCAAATTTTTTTAGCGGAGTGCACGATTCCGCTTCGCGAGATCCGTGAGCTCAACACCAAGCGCGAGGTCAAGATCATCGAGGAGCTGAAAGCGCAGGTTGGGTCAAAGGTAGGTGCACATTCCTGAAACGTATGAAATCGTCTGTGTCAGAAGCTCGGCAAGATCCACATCACGTCGTGCATCGAGAAGGACGCACGTCGGTTGACGATCAACGTCAAAAAGGCCGACGACCTGCCGCGATGGGGATTCCTGGGCGCACCAGGTTGGACATAGCATTAGGCTTGGGCTTGGGTCTAGGCTTAGGCTTACATACCACTTCGGTTCAAGATTTCCCCAAGACTTACGAAAAACAGGATCTTTCGCATTATCTTAGAATTCGCTTTTTCAAATAGAAGTCGTAGAAGTGTTTCTATGGGGTTTTTTTTACTATTCCTAAACGTAAAAACTTAGAAAACGTAGAAAACTTAGAACCTAAAAAAGTAACTTTGAAAAGAAACACGCAAAGCGCATTTCCCTAGGCGGTGCCGCTCACCAAATTCAAGCCCAGTCGGGAGTCACATAAGCCTAAAAACGGGACGACACCCCGCCAGGAAATTGGATCACCCCGCCAGGGCCGGCGGGTCATCCCGGTTTGACGTCTGCGCGACGTTTCCATTTTTGGAGTCACAAGCGCGAATTTGAGAAATGGGGGCTGAAGCTGGGGCTATAAATCGGCATTTTCAGAATCGGCATTTTGTAAATCTGTATTATGCAGATAATTCGTTCCAGATGTATGCGTGAAGATCACGGTGGACCAGGGCGGGATCGCCAAGACAAAGTGCTCGCGGGTGCTGAAGAGCACCACTTCGGCCGTCTACAACGAGGCGGTTGGTGTATTTCGATATTTCATAGGTCGAGGTCGACCATGGAAATCGGCCATATCGATAGGCTTAGGCTTAGGCTTAGGCTTGGGCTTAGGCTTAGGCTTAGGCTTAGGCTTAGGCTTAGGCTTAGGCTTAGGCTTAGGCTTAGGCTAACAGAGGTCGACCATGGAAATCGGCCATATCGATAGGCTTAGGCTTAGGCTTAGGCTTAGGCTTAGGCTTAGGCTTAGGCTTAGGCTTAGGCTAACAGAGGTCGACCATGAAATCGGCCATATCGATAGGCTTAGGCTTGGGCTTAGGCTTAGGTTAAGCCTAAAAACTTCGCTACTAGAAAATTCAACATCCGTTCAGGTGATGTTCCTCTTCAACCCGTCGAAGAACGAGCTGGCGCACACCAAAATCACCGTGTCGGTGCACGACATGCAACGGTGGGTTGAAAGAATCTAGGCTAGCCTGGCCGTTCCCAAGCGAGTTTGCAAGACCTCCGAACGATCGTTGGCCACTTTACTGCGGTAGCCTATATCACACCGCCGATTTCAGCACGTGCACCGGCGACGACGTCATCGGCGTCTCCTACCTGGGGATCCTGGCCCAGGACAAGTCGGAGGTGGAGCAGTGGAAGAACACGGTCGAACACCTGGGCAAGGAGTACAAGGTGAGCACCAACTTTCGGTTCTTTCGCATTATCGGGGGGTGCAGCTTTTTCTAAGAATTTAATTTTTCAAATATAGATAGTGGAAGTGTTTCTAAAGGGTCCTAAACGTCAAACTTTACAAATTTGCATTAAAAATATCGATTTTGCAACCGAAAAATGTGACGATTTTTGATCACAAATCGGCTTTTTTTAATTTTTTGGATAGTTTTTTAGTTGAAACCAGGGTTGAAAAGCCGCTTCGCGTCTTTTCAACCCCTGGCCCCGTCTAGCGTCATAATATGCTTCATTTTGCATAATTTTCGTGAATTCCGATGACAAAAAATGAAAATCTCTCCCTCCGCCCACTATATAGGCGCGCGCCATTTTCGGCATATGCTAATTGATTCCTAACAAAGTGGGTGCTCCATTTTCTAACAAAAACTTAATTTTAACGTCGAAAATAGCATGATTTGCAAAATCTGATGTGTGTGCAGTCATCTCAGCGCCAATACGCACCTAATGACGTATCATACGTTGCGTAAAACCCTTTCCCTCTCGAGATATCCTCCGGACACCCTGACGGAAGTTGCATGCAAAGTGGCACACACACACACAAACACACAGACACTATTTTTTTATATATAGTAGGATATATTTAGAGATTATTAAAAAACACTATTAAAGCGTAATTTATTAAGTCATTAGGCATTTCTAGTACACAATTTCAGGGCGCCCACCATCTAAAGGCGCAGCAGAATTCGCCGACTGTCCACGTCGCAGAAGCTGGCGACGATGGCGACGAAGAATAACGCTGTCGCCATTCTTCAAATCGTTTTATTCGCCGCGCTACAAATCGGTTTATCAGTTTTTAAAGGAGCCCGGAAGCCAGGCGTTCAACGAGTCAAAATTCTACGACAACCGTTTCGCAAACTCTTGGCTTTCAGCTCTCTTTAAGAGCAACCCACGCACCCTCCATTAACGTCCAATTATGCATCAGAACCCTGGCTTTCAAACCACCCGTTTTCCATGTTGCCCTCTCAATGCTCGCTCATCCCTCAAAATCCGAATATATCACTCCCCCCACCCAGACCACTGTAATTCCACAACTTTTCAATTTTTCTAGTCACCGTATCGGGAAACGGTCATTACCCCGAAAAGTCACTATTCCAAAGTCACTAGTCGGAAAAATCTTACTAGGAGATAACTTGTATGCAAATTTTTATTTTGCGGTCAAATCCTAAGCGTGGACCACGAAAGCTTGGGCTTACGCTAAGGCTTAGGCTTAGCTTAGGCTTAGCTTGGGCTTAGCTTAGGCTTGGCTTAGGCTTAGGCTTTGGCCCAGGCTTTGGCATAGTCTTAGGCTTAAGCTTGGGCCAAATTGCAGTTCCAGGTCAAAACCATTATGAATCTTTTTCTGACTGGTGACTTTGGAATAGTGACCGGAAGCTACCGTAACCAAAATTTTCCAAAAGCCAACTGCTAGCGCTTCGCCCCCGAAGAAATTTTGTGTGTATAAAATGATGATCTTCCGCCCGTTTATGCAATTTCCGCACCGTTCCCGATCAATTTTGGTTGAACCCGCTTGCCCCCTGGCGTTTTTACAACCATCTTCTTCACATCACCCCCGTGCTTGCATGTGTATTTTCATATCCCGACGAGTATCCCCTCCCCCCATCCGATCCCGCGATTTTTTGGCGATTCTCCTTGATGGATTCCACTGGTTTTCTGTTGGGAACGTTTAGAGACTCGATAAATATTCCGAAATCTTCACAGGTTCAAGAAGCTTGACCAAATTTACACTCACGAATGGATGGCGAGTTGATTCTTGGCAAATAGCAAGATGCGAACGCAACGCAGCCGCGCCGCAGCATCTTTTGTCTCTGTTTGGAAGTGCAAACGCTTGATTCTAAAGATTCTGATGCTATTTCTGGAAACACTCACTGGATTTTGGTCATACTAGACTTTTTCCTTATGGAAATTGAACAGAGAAGCACCGAGATCCAGAGGTTCAGAGCTTTACAAGGCATTACGACATGTAATCGCCGCGCACTCAAAAAGTCTTCGCCCGAGAAAATGTCGGTTTTACCCAAATATTTTAGGTTTTTTCGCAATAAACTGAGTTTGGCTGGCGCTTCTTGGCAGTAACCCATTCGTTTTTCGGCCAATAGGTTCATTCCCCGGACACGCGAATTCTGGCTTCCGAGCCCCTTTAAAGAACTTCAGTGCTGGTTTTGATTCCATTGGATGGGTATAGTAAACGCGATGAGGCAGCAATCCCTCGTTTCGTACTCCCTTCCCCTCGGGTGCCCTATCAAGCGTCTCAGGGTATTGGGGGGACAATGCATCATTGCCCTCTTGGCCCCAGCCTTCTGGGGCCCATATGACCACTTCTTCTCAGAACCAATCGACTCTTCGTGACTCCAATGTTTTTTCCTGGCTTCTGTTTGGGCGTTCATCCGCATCACGAGATTCCACTCAACTGAGTTTCGGCTTCTGTTGCTGACAAGCCTCGGGGGGCCGCCGGCATAAAAAGCCCCCCCCTTCATTTTTTGTTGCTGTTTACAAGAAGACTTTCGACAGATTTTCGCGGTTTTCGGGGCTCAAAAGGGCATATTTGAAGTCTGGTAAATAAACAGACGTGCCGAGCTTCGCGGACTATTTCTTGCCTGGCCCTGAAAATCCTCGTAGAATTGTAAAATCGAACTCACTAGGAGATTTTTTAGTGACAATTGCATTTCTCTACGGGACCAAGCCAATCTTGTGCAGAATTTTGCGCTGATTCCGGATTTAAAGCCTTCAGATCTATCGTAAAATTACGCGGAGAGCGGAACTGCTGTGCTGGCTCTCTCAGGACCACCAGTTTTGCACGGTCCACGGGGGGTATGATGAGGCCCTAGTCTATTCAAATTCAGCCAGGCCGGCCACTCGAAATGTGCAATATCCATTCAACATCGGACCCTGACGAATAGCCGGGTTGGAAGGGATGTTCCTTCATTCAGACATACTTCTTAGTCTTTGGATTAAATAGTTTTACGCTTAGGCTTAGATTGGGCTTAGGCTTAGGCTTGGGCTTAGGTCTTGGTTCAGTTTGGGGCTTGGGCTTGGGCTTGGGCTTGGACTTAGGCTTAGGCTTGGTTCAGCTTGAGCTTCGGCTTGGGCTTAGGCTTAGGTTTAAGCTTTGGCTTGAGCTTAGGCGTGGTCTGAGGCTTGGGCTACGGCTAAGGCCTGGGCTTGGTCTTAGGCTTGGGCTTGTCGATTCGTGGTTTTTCCGGGAAAACTAGCTTATGTGAATTTCGACTTTTTTAATTTTGACATTCCGAAATGGCGACATTATGGTTTTTCGCATTTTAAAAGCCAACCAAACCCGAAGAGGCCATTGGGTACTAGTGCCCTTCTGTCCCAGCTGTTCCTGCCATCCCAATTTATCATGTCGATGTGGGCGAGGGTGTATGTGTGTGTGGATGTCCATTGGAGTGAAATGTAGCTGAATGGGCTCGTTGTGGTGGCGGAGAGCCGTGGTTTGGCCCATCTAATGTTTCCTTTACACCCTATCCCTCCACCTTGACCGCGCGCTCTTTGGGTCCCGGGGCCCTCGGGTCCTTGGCCTCTTGGGGCCCAGGCCAAAAGATTTATGGTGGGCCCCCTAATCGCTCACCCATCCGCCGGACAATGGCCCGCTACCTCACCGGTCAGCGCTTCCATAACCTGTTCAGTCTGGCACTAATCTACACACCGAAGTCAAGCCTAAGCTCAAAGCAGCCTGAGCTTCATCCCTCCCTTTTATGCAAATTTTCGGGCCACCCTGGCAGGTGTCCCGGGGCCCACCCACGCCATGCCCCTCGCAATTTATGTGCTACGTGTTTGTAAAAGCAAAAAAAAGACGTAGAATGGGGCCGAAAAATGGCCCTTTCACCCTTCCGACGCACCGCCATCTCAATTTACATAATGGGACCACCGTAGTGGTACTGCGGATGGCTAGCTCTTTCAAGAATATCTGCTAGCCTGCCCTTTCCGCAAGAATTTCTGCCAGCCTGTCCTTTCCTAAAGAACCTCCGCTAGCCCGCCATTTCCTAAAGAAATCTTTCTAAAAAAATAGCTGCTAGCCGGAACGCCGAAATCCCGACATTCGAAATCCCGACAGCCCAAAATTCCGATAGCCAGAAACCCCAGGTTTTAAAACCATTTATGGTAACTATAAAACGACTGAAAACATCCCATTTTGGTTGTCGGGATTGTGGCTGTCGGGATTTTGGCTGGAATTCTTAAAAAAAACCCCAAAACTTCAAGCGCCTGGCCTATTTACATGTCGTAATCGGTTGCTTCGACTCGGGTATCGCGACCAACCCGCAGCACATTAATTCCCGAGGGATGTGCGCCTCAGTGAGTGTGAGCGCCATCTTGGCCTCCCTAAATATGGCCCTTCCCGGCTGCTGCCAGCCGCCATCGTTGCCTTCATTTATTTCCATTCCGGACACACAGACACACACAGCCGAGCATCGATTCCAAACCCTTCCTCTTTCCGCTGGATTTTCGCCCCCCCCTCTGGCTGTTGTGTGTGTGGTGTGGGGGGTAGGAAGAAGAGCTGGGCCCCCGGCTTCTCGGGCTTCTCCCCTTTTTTAGGGTGTTTTTTGCGGCCCGGTGGGGGCACCGGGGCCCCCATCCGTTGGGGCTTTTCGGGCTTATAACACAATTCACCCGGAGGCCCCGGGAACGAATATTATCATTTTGGGCCCCCATCATTACTTCTAAAACCTATACTTCTAGAACAAAAGTACTTCTAAGATTCTGCGCGTCAATTTGCAAATAATCTGGCCAAATTTGTCGAAAATTGATAATCCGATGTATTTCAGGTTTTTTTGTTGCTTTTCAAGGTTTGACAGTAGTGTTGGTTTTTTACCGGTACCGAAACCCAGTACCGGTACCGAACCCCCCTTGGGTACCGCGGTACTCGGCGGGTACCGGTACCGAACATCGGTACCGGGGACCGGTACCGGTACCCAGTGAGTACCGATGGCATCGGTACTTTTTCGGTACCGGTACCAAGTGGGTACCGAGAGGGTCGGTACTTTTCCGGTACCGGTACCAAGTGGGTACCGAGAGGGTCGGTACTTTTTCGGTACCGGTACCAAGTGAGTACCGACGGCTTCGGTACTTTTCCGGTACCGGTACCAAACCGACCGGTAACGGTACTGCGGGTCGGTACTGGCGAGGGCACAGGGGGCCGCCTTGCTTCAGGGCAGTGGGCCAGGCGCGTGGCGTGTCGCCGCTGCGTACCTTTTTTACAAAATAAATCATATTCCTGCTTTTATTTATACTGAGGTTTGTATTGCTATCTGTTCTAAATAAATTCTGCTCTTGCCTTCGATATATAGGCTTTAATTCGATAAGAAATACCGGCGGGCCCTTCCCTGTCACCGCGGCGACACGCCACGCGTCTGGTCCACTGCCAGGAAGCAAGGCGGCCCCCTGTGACCCCGCCAGTACCGACCCGCAGTACCGTTACCGGTCGGTTTGGTACCGGTACCGGAAAAAGTACCGATCGGTCGGTACTCACTTGGTACCGGTACCGAAAAAGTACCGACCCTCTCGGTACCCACTTGGTACCGGTACCGGAAAAGTACCGATGCCATCGGTACTCACTTGGTACCGGTACCGAAAAAGTACCGACCCTCTCGGTACATGCTTGGTACCGGTACCGGAGGTCCGGTACCGGTAAAAATGGCGTCGGTAAGAAATGGCTGTCGGTACCGGTACTGGGTTTCGGTACCGGTAAAAAACCAACACTATTTGACAGGTGACACACGTC